CAGAAGAGGATATTTTCATGTGAAGGAGAAAGCTCTAGATCGCATCAAGTGGAGGAACTGTTTTGGAAGAGACTGTGGACCTGTCGTCTTGACAGATTACAAATGAATGAATGAATAAGTGTTAAGTTTTGCCTCTTAGTCCATTTTTACCCTTCTAGGTAACCATATGAGGACAGGCACTTAATTTAATTTGCCTGAGGCCTATAGGCTACCTTTAGTAAGAGATCGGCCGCCGTTTCAGTCACCGGCTGGCAACTCTGATGAGTTACAAGCTGTTGTTGGTTTTATTTTTAGCCGGCTTGTGTGTGTGTGTGTGTGTGTGCGCATCAACTTTTGAACGCCTGAACCAATCTTTATGAAACTTGGTATCATACATATCACGGCATCTGAGTCGATCTCAGCGGCCTGCTTCATAAATTCGTCCCAACAGTCTGCGTGCCTCTATGTCTATCCCGCTGTCGTTGCTCGACAACTGCACGGTAAAAACATTACCGCTGCAACAGATACACACTCAACAATAGAATTGTTGGACGCGCATGCGGGCCGTGGCATATCAAAAGAAAGTAGGCGATTCGTTCTTCCAAGAATTTCATGTTATTAATGTCGCTTTAAGCTTTGTGAGAGTTGGTCTATACATCATCAGAATCACTGAGTTCAGCAACATTTTGGTCTTGAGGTGAGATGTCTTGGATCGGGGATTACCGTGTCACAAATTCCGACCACAACAAATCAACGCAGGGGCGTTTTCAGGCCAATGTATGTTTGGGCACATATGCACTCCAGNGATACGTTCTTCCGAAACGTCGGTTAACACCACATATATACGGTGCCAAATCCCAGAAGACTGCTTTGTTCATAGTTACCGTCGTGAAAACCTCAAATCTTACAATTTTATTATATTATTTCATTATTATTTATTATATAGACTATCCAGTAACGCGGCTACAATCTGGAAGACTGGGATTCGACTCCTAGCAATAGTCCCATTTTCCTTTCCTCCAATGATCACCTAAAGTTTGTCTGCACCATTTCAGTCAGCATGAATGAATGTATGAATGTATGGAGTGGACTTTCTCGCCCTCGTACCGCGACATGCAGTGGTCTATTGTAGGTCTCTGGTTCCTGCGTCAGTCCTTCGGTTGATTGGCCACAGACACGTAGTCTGAAGCCGATCACAGTGGGCGCGCGGTCTAAGGCGGCCCATACACGTACGAGTCTGACTCGCGAGTACGGCTCGGAGAGGAGCCGGGCTCGGATTAATTTCACGACACACGTATGAGCGTGGTGACCCACACACGGACAAGTTTGGCTCATTGGAACCCAAGCCGAGTCGGACTCGCGAGCCAGAATTGTACGTGTATGGGCCCAAGACATGAACTTTATTCCTTAGCTCCAACTCTGGGATCGTGGATTCGAATACCACTTGAGGCATGGATGTCTGTGTGCGATCATTCTGCGTTTCTGCTGTCATGTATGCAGGTAGCGACCTTACGACGGGCCGGCCCCCCGTCAGAGTAGACCTACCGACTGTGTACAGGATTAAGAAATTTTGAAAGCGGTCAGAGTCGAACATAGAGCACAGGTATGTAGGTAGGTACAGTGTCTGAAAGTGGGCCTGCGGTTTGAATCATAAGAACAGGCATTGCTTATGTAGAAAGTGAGAGATATCAAAGAGTAGCAATGGAGGCTGAAATCGAACCCTGGACGCCTGAACAATGACCAAACCCGTAATTATGTAGCTACTACAGTCATTCTTGATAAACTATCATATAGTTATACAACACTCTTATTTTTTCAAGCATTAATTTACCAAAATGATTAATACTTTAAATGCGGACATAGTGAAGAAAGCCTTGACTTTACGTTTACATGATTGATATCGGAGGTGCTATCTTATTACTTTAATTAATCAATTCGTTACCTTAATGAGAATGTAGGGGCCGCTTCTCTGTAATAAAACGGGACGTCCGACACGCAATAGCCATTGCAACAAGACCACGCCAAGGGCGCAACTTATAGTGCTTTTTAGAAGTTCTTAGTGACATACAGTCAGGAAATTCTAAGACAAACAGGCGAAATTGTCCATTTGAAAGCAGGGCTACAAGTTTCAAAATCTGCGAAACAAACGGAAGGTTCAGTACCAAACAAGTTCCCTGAAGCCTAAAGCAATACGAGAGCCTCCGACTCTGCTTACTTAGGTGTATAGTGGTCTTCCTCAGTCACGTTAAGTATCTTCAAAACATATGACCATCTCTCCCGACAAGAACCAGCTCAGTCAGTTCTGACTCCTAATATAAACAGTTCACAGTAGTCGCAACGGTATCGCAGCAGATCCAGTGGGGCCGAGTCAGAAGACAGAATAAGGGCCATCACACAAAATTGTATTAAAACTCATAAAGCAAAATGGCTACATGTAGAGGATGTATATTGCTGACTATGACAGACCCGTCCTCTCGCTTGAGAGAGCATATCACATTGACAGAACCGCAAATGTATGACAGTAAAAAAAATCTGAACTTGGGCCCCAGACGGGGCTTGACATCAAGAGTGACTGGCCGACTGACCGTCGGACGTAATGTGACTTTGAATTGCAGAGTCCTCTGTCTCGCCGAAAGTGGTCGTCGCCTCATAGACTTGGTGTCAAATAACCATTATTAATATGCCGTTGCCGGTCACGGTAGCTGAGTGGTCTAAGACATATACTGTCTTTACTCGCTCGGAAGCCGGGATCGTGGGTTCGATTCCCACACAATGAATGGATGTTTGGTATGTTGATATGTTTATTCTGGGTTTCTGTTGTCCTGTGTTTAGGTGGAGACCTTGCGAAGAGCTGATGACCCGTCCAAGGAGTCATACCATCTGCATAATGATCAAATGAAAACAAACCAACCTCGACAACGTAAAGGTTTCAGAGGAAAGGATTAAGTAAGTAAAATATACCGTTTTTAAATGATCTACGATCCATCCACCCAGATCCACTTATGTCAAGCTACACCGTTGCACTTCATTCCCGTCTAATTCAGTGTGCTTAATATCGTCTCATCCCGTTTCTCCAAGATCTACGTTTTGCTATTATTCCTCCGTCTCGCTCTCGGTTCTCCAAACGCAGGAATTTCAAAAAATTTCTCTATCATAGACCTGACGTAGGTCCTTATTTATGATCTATGCGCAGTTAATCATAATCTTCATTGAATGGGTTCCGGGGGCACAAAAGTTTAGAAAGGCTGCAGCTAAGCCTCCACATGAATGCCAGGGCTCCTAGAGTGCTGCAGAGACAATCATTTACCATTTACCTATAGCGTGAGACCTGTACAAGTCGCAGCATAATTAATTATTTTTGTCATATAAAATACTTAGGTCCGTGTTCTTACGTCAAAATAAGAAATTAGATATTCTCACGTATTCGTGAGGTGTGTGAATATAGAGGTGTAAGGATTGGATGGATTTATTGACCACTTGTATACACCACTCGGAACTACATTTTACAGATCTCCCCAGTCTGTTACGGTCTCCATTAGCCGTTTCCTGGCAACGGCTTCTGCCGAGGGAGATCCTTCAGCTGCCGTGGCTCAGGTCTTCTTGTCGCAGCCGCCCGTGCAGAATTCTTGTCTGCTGACAACTCAACTAACTGGATCCCAGGCTGGCGGCCATTTCACACCAGCCTCCTGGTCTTCTCTGCACAGGCTGACTTCCAGCTGACAACTGAGTACTGAACTCACTCACCAGTCAGCTGCACGATGTCGCTTCACTCAACTGAACTGCTGACAACTTCAACCAGCAACTATCTCGTTGCTTCAAACTGTCCCGCTTACAACTTCTCGGCACGGACTACATAGAAAACACTGCTTCCATTGTATAGTCCAACAATAACTGGACCGTTGCATATAAACGGACGTTTGTTTATCCTCCTATTGCATAGCAACTGCTGTTGTTTACAGAGTCACAACTTGGGAACGCGTCTATACACCACAGTATATTTTTCAGCGATAGAAAACAAAAGTACAATTTCATGTCTGTATAAATCTGACTGTCTTTTAAATATTTTTTCTTCCTATTATTCCCCAGAATTATGGTACCCCAATTTTGATTGCTTTTTTCCACCTCCACTCTTTCTTCTTTCCAAGTCTCCATTTTCAAAACTTCCGTCTTCCCTTACAGACTTCGTATATTTTTCGACTTATTCTTCTTTGGGATGACCGGTGCAATATATTTTTCCGTAATCTGTACCGCTCAGAAGGGACAAAGGATCGTAGCTTTCCTGTTTTTCTTTTTAAGGTTCCTTATCACAGATTGAGAGACACTCAATTCTTCCCATTACGTTTCACTCTTCACTCTGTTTGCCTTGCCGCCTCGAGAAGTCTACTTAAGTAACAAATTCCAACCGCTATTATTTACTCCCAAATTTTTTAGTCAGCGGCCACATAACAGAATACCTTCCGAAAGAAACTTTGTGGAACTTTCTCACTTTCCGATGCTTGCTCTATGCCTCATCAGCCACACTTTCCTTCATGAGTACAAATTATGAAGTACCTCAGTAAAATTATTTTTCTTTTAAATTCGCTTAGTGGGGGGTGGAGTCCAACTGGGTCCACTCGGCACGGCGTCCACTGATTGGCCTATTGTAGCCTGCCCCGGGTGATAATGACGATGGAGAATTTGGTGGAATGAAGATTGGAAGGGAAACCTAAGCGCCCCAACGCCGCTTTGTCCACCACAAACCCCACTTGACCAGACCCGGGATCGAACCCGAGCCGCCGCGGTGGGAAGCCAGCCACTAACCGCTTGAGCTATGGCCCGTCCCAGCACCTCAGTATATAATTGTCCTTTTAAACTCCAGAATCTCAAAATTAGGCCTATATGTGATTTTAAACTTTAATCTACAAGCTGTTTCATTCCCATTTCCAGTAGGCCTACATCTTCACGTTTTTCAACTGCGGGGCACAACTGACCTGCCATTATAGTAACAGAAGTGGAAGTTGTTTTGTCAATGGACTGTTATGGCCCATACCGACCTAGGGTAACAACCGCACTCCCGCCCTTGCCAGGTCGCAACAAGGAAATGCTCCAGAGACACTTGAGACTACAGGGCGTTTCGCCAGTCAGTATACAACGTCAGATAGAAGCCGAATACGCTAGATCATCTGTTGCCAGATCCAGGTCACTAACAAGCAGATAGTAAAACCCGAAGCTTTTATATAATTGCACATATTCTTTTTTTCCCGGGGAGCACTACTTAGGCCCGTTGCACCACTTAATAAATTACTGGATGCTAATCAAGATGTCGCAGATCGCACTGGCCGCACGGTCTAAGGCATGAACCGTCTTCGCCTGCTCAAACACCGGGATCGTGGGTTCGAATCCCACTCGAGGCATGAATGTTTGTGTTTATTCTGTGTTTTGTTGTTCTACTCTCATGTGTAGGTAGCGACCTTGCGACGGGCTGATCCCCCGTCCAAGGAGTCTTAGAGACATTGCACAGACTCAGAAACTGAAAAAGCGGCCAAGAGCTACAGGGGCTGTAGAGCCATAGATAGATAGAGTGAATGAGACGTGTTATTAAATCATCGGAAAATGAAACGCGAAAATTACTATACATAAGTCGTTTATTCATTCATCAATGGCTCTACAGCCCTTTGTTGGGCCCTGGCCTCTTCTTCAGTTTCTTAAAGTATTTTACACAGACAGTAGGACTCCTTGGACGAGTGATCAGCCAGTCGCAAGGCCGCTACCTGCACACAGAACAACACAAACAGACAATAAACGCACAAAGACATCCATATCTTGAGTGGGATTAGAATCCACGATCGCAGAGTTCGAGCAAGCGAAGACGGTTCATGCTTTAGACCGCGCGGCCACTGCGATCGGCAGTTTAAATAAATCAGTGTACCAGTAAACGAATTAATTCACTTCAATGCAATTCATTTTAAGAGAGAAATTCAAAATCTTATTAGAATCATCATAGAAATATCATCTAAACCGGTTCAATCCAATTCAGATCTTCACAATCAATTCATATAACCCTGAAGATTGTTTCATCTGTCCATTTATGCCTCTGAATCCCTAATGACTCCTTCCCATAATATTTTCTTGTTCATTTGACTATCCCTCCACTTGCCAAGATCAGCGTCGAGTGAGAGGACATTTAGCGGAAATCTTGGCTTCGTTATACCATCTTGAAATATACGTGGAGGGATCAAGGAAAGACATTCATTCTTGTTAGGGTAGCTGGTCGTTCGAGATTTGAAATCTGGACCTCCAGAATACAGAGAAAATTAGAAATAGAAATAGATATTTTGCTGCTACACATATAACTGGTTTTATTGCTCAGTTCACAACGTGTTTCTACCCGTACAGATCATCAGCAGATGTGCCCATTTCACTGCATCGTTCTAGCCATGAAACATGCGTTCTACATGTTCTATTCGTCCCAACCGTCTCGATTTATTAACAGAGAAAAAGTAGTGCTTACCGAAACGCTGGAAATTCTTCAGCATTCCATTCAGTGCATTCCCGGAATTCGAATTTGTATATGAAACCGAAACAGTGTTCTGACGGTTGTTACCTTACAAATATTAAATTTCTTTGTTAGGTATTTTGTTTATTTTCTTATTATTAATTCTCTGTACTTCCTATAAATGAATTAAGAACATATTTTTAAACACCCTGCAAATTTCGGCAGCAGATGCTACAAATCGACGAGTACAGCTTCTGTTATTAGGGAAGATCGGGGTTCGAATATGTGACCTACCTCACATATGCCAGATCAATACTTCCTAACAATTGACGTCTGTTCGACGAGATCTTCCCCCAAATACAAAAGACAGCTTTTCCAGTCTGCACAATTCCTGTTACCCCAAGGTCGAAAATCCGTCCCCTCGGTTTGTAAAGGCATCCCCACTACCCCAACTAAGGCAGCTGCAGGGACAGTGATATTTGTAAAATTTTCGTTTTCTCTAACGACAATTACGAATAAGATTTAGAACAGTATGCACGAAGAATATAAAAATAAATTCAATTCCATGAATTTTTTACGTCTATCTATAAACCACCTTTATAAGATGATCATCACCATCATTAGCAATATGATTATGATTCTATTGTTACGTTCTCCTTCCCAAAATTCATTCAATTAATTCATTTGTTTTTCAAAAGCTTGACATACATTGTGTCATAGGTGATGGTATTGCCAAGCCTGTTTAGGTACTAAAATTTTGAATATGCATACCACACTCACTAGTTCTTTCGTACGTGTCCGAAACTTGGTATTATCACGTTTTTGGATGACCTATAAGACGGGGTTTGAGTTGGATGATTGAATTTATTGCACGTTATAAATTCACATAGTTCGGCACTACAACCAATACAGAGCTATCGCTATTCTACACACTTTCCAGTTCACAGTTACACACAAACTAGGACGTCCACTCTTCTCTAGTCGTATCCTGACAACGGATTTTTAACAGTCTCACTGTCACTCCAATTCCTTTCTTGTTATTTCCTCTCATACTCCTTCGATTGCCATCTCCAGAACGACTCATCTCTCTCGACCATTGTTCTATACCACCCATCTCTGATTACTTCGTAGCGTTCTCTCTGTTCCTTTATAACTCCTCGGCATGGACCCCAAGGAGAACACCGTGTTTAGTGGTCCGTTACTCAGCAGTGGATGTCCTATTGTCGCGTGCGCTAGTATTGCGGGAATTTGTTTACCAACCCGTTGCCTAGCAATAGGTATACACGTCACAACATATTACTGGGATAGCCCTCAGAAATAAAAGTTATTGAGATAACACATTCTGGACCATTTCCGGATATGGCAGAGAAAAATTAACAGAAATGACAAAACCACGCATTTAAGAGCTTCATAATTTGTATCCTCGACCAAATAATTCTAAGGAGACGAAATCGACGAACATAAGAAATAT